TCACCCACATGTTGTTCATCAAAAGTAAACAAAACTCTCAAGCTTTAATCCACAAGTAGCTGGAATGTTTTTCTAGGGTCGACTCGCACAGGTCCAAGGCTTCGAAAAACCATCCACAGGGTCTGCGAAGACGAAGAAAATCAAGCATGTACCGAGATCGTAGATCGTGTCTAGGCTTGTCGCTGAGATCGGACCATCTGTTGTGCCCTCAAGCCTACGAACTGCTCTTCGAGGCTTTCTGCTGTGGCTGCCGTGGTTCGCACGAGCTCGGAGTACGTCTGGACGGTTAGGGGGCCCTCATTGAGGATCTCCTTTTCACAAAACCTTAAATCCCCAAACCCCTGTAAAGCCCCGAAGCCCGTAAACCCCAACCCCCAAAGCCCCCAACCCCCAAACCTCTAAAACCCCTAAAAACTTCAAAAAGCTCTTGAACAGCACAACACACACAGGAGAGATCACACGAGTCAATGGCCTGAAGAACACATGTAAATCTGTTTTTACCGAAATAACTGCAGGTTGTTTTGCATAGGGTATCTGGTTGATTTTCTTCAAGCTTTCTATGTGGCTGTTTTGGTGAATCCTAAATCCATTCGATCATCAAAAAAACAGTTGTGGAAGATAAGCTTGTTCTAGAAGGCGAATGAAGGGGATGATGGAGCCCGGAAGATTTTGGACAAGGTCGAGAGAAAAGATGACATGTGTGGCAGAATATGTGTCTTGTCTGCGTTCAAGCCACATAGACTCGTTTTTCATGCGGAAGCAAAACAAACCTTGATCCCCAAAAGACCCTTATAAAACTTTATAATTGTGGCAAACAGTTTGTGCGTCTGTTGACCTTGCACAGAATTGTTGTCTAATTGAAGATCTATTTGAAGTGGTCAATTGTGTTAGTTTTGGCTCTATTTTGCTTTCTACCGAAGTTTTATGTTCGTTATTGCCATGCCGCCAAAACGGGAGCGTACTTGCTCTTTGGAAGCTGTGGAATCCACAGTACGATTATTGAATTGACTTGGCTCAGCATTTTGGAAATTTCGGGACCTGAAAATTTGAAAATAATGAGCCAAATCCCGCCGAAATCACTTGGCTCAGCATTTTGAGGATTTAGGGCCCTGAAAATTCCAAAATAGTCAGCCAAGTCCCGCCAAAATCACATGGCTCAGTATTTTGGAGTCTTCGGGGCCTGAAAACTCCAAAATACTGATCCAAGTCCCGCCGAAATCACTTGGCTCAATACTTTTGGAGTTTTCGGGGCCTGAAAACGCCAAAATAATGAGCCAAGTCCCGCCGAAATTATTTGGCTCAGCATTTTGGAGTTTTCGGGGCCTGAAAATTCCAAAATAATAAGCCAAATCCCGCGGAAATCATTTGGCTCAACATTTTAAAGTTTTCGGAGCCTAAAAATTCCAAAATAATGAGCCAAGTCGTGCCGAAATCACTTGGATAATGAGCCAAGTCCCGCCGAAATCACTTGGCTCATCATTTTGAGGAGGTTTAGGGTCTCCAAAATAATGAGCCAAATCCCTCCGAAACCAATTAGCTCAATATTCTAGAATTTTCGGGACTTGAAAACTCCAAAATAATGGGCCAAGCCCAGCCGAAATCAGTTAATTCAATATTCTGAGAGTATAGAAACCTTAAAAACTTGAGCCACTTCCCGCCCCCCCAAATCACTAGGCTCAACATTATAGAGTTTTCGTAACCTAAAATTTCCCAAAGAATGAACCAAGTACTATCGCGACCATTTGGCTCAATATTTTGCATTCTGAGCGAACCTAAAATATCATACGACAAGAAGTAAGATTTAGAAGGTTCCAATATAGTTTAAATCATCTTCTAGAAAAATTTGTACTTACACGACTACGAATTATGAAGAACCGTGAACCGAACCGAACGATATGAACCACTCAACCGATTCATAGGAACCTAACCGAACCGAATAGAACCCTGTTAAGAATAAATAATATTCAATGGGAAATAAACATATATATTTCATCCTAGAGAAATTCGCTTCTTTTATTCCCCATTTTCTAATTTCATTTTGAGATATAATAGACCTTATAAGAATTCCGAACCATAAATATTCATAAAAATAATTTGTATTTCTAATATCATTATGAATATCATCTTTGGAATAGAGAAGTAGTCGTAATATTTATAGATTGTAATCATCAGAATATAAATCATAATATTAGTAATAATTGGTTTTAGTAATATTAGTAGTAATAATGGTCGAAAGCGATTATCTCTAAATAATGCTATAATCGAGATAATTTAACTAATACTTCCGTTATTATGATAATTATTAATACTTCGAGATTATGAATGCTACGACTACTACGCCGACCATTCCTTTCTCAAAGCTATCCTTGAGATTACTTCCTAAATTTACGTTATTCACTGTGACCTCTATACTGATTATAATGTCTATTCGACTACTACTGCGAATACGACAACTGCTGCTGCTGCTACTGCTACTCATACTACTACCTTTTCTTCTTCTTTTACTACTATCTGCAAATGAAACCTAAGCAAATTATTTTGATTTTCTGCCTTCTTTCTCGAGATGATGTTCCTCTTCTGTGTTTCTTTTTGCCTTCCGTCTTCATACATTATGTCTCTGATATAGCGCAGAACACTAGTTAACAATTCTACCAGAATCAAATTCAATAGTTATTGTGGCAGAACTGCAGTAGTAGCGGTAGCCGTAGCGGCAAGAGGAGTAGCAAGAGTAGTAGCCACAGTAGTCGAATCATGATACTGTCCACAAGGTCTTCGAACAGCAGCACAGCGTGTCGAGTCAGATGTCTTCGCGTCTAATCAAACTGGTCCACTCTTCCCATAACACCCAACGGCTCCAAGATCTAGCGACGTGGCAGCAACTTCAGTGTGCAGCAGAAAACTGGCTCGAAATAACTATGAACGAAAGAAGTCCAACTGTGACAGCCCGACTCTTCCAGAAGACATGTTTTTCTCAAGATGTGATGATTTACCCATTTCGCTAGCAAGCCGCCCTGGGGCAGTACGTGGTGTCGACCTTGTCGACGAAGTCACAACGTGTGGATCTGAGGTCGATGCTGATGCCCCGAAAAGCTTGCAAAATAGACTCCTGCATGGCATACTCAGGTTCCAAAAGTCTCTGCAGCGAACCTGGAGGCGAAAGGTGGCGAAAGGGCTCGTTTTCGAAGGGCTACTCTGAGAATTTCTGCACTCCCAGAGTAAGACCTTGACGAAATCTTGTCAGACAAGTCAACAAATGAGTCAACAAAGCTCTTTCTTTCTGGCCCATGTGTGGTGTTGATCTTCTGCACGGTGAACTGTTTCAAGAATTTCCAGGGCAGCAATACGGAGCGACTGCCAGGCACAAATCCTGGCTGCATCCGAGGAGCGCACCAGTGAGGCATTGAAGCAAAGATCTGTTCGGTGCCCCCCCACGGAGTTGTGGCGCCTGCAGGGAGAAAAGGTTCGGTTCTCATGGCTGCAAGGTTGGCACTCCGTTGCTGGGGCCTACCTCGCAGCAGTGCTGCATATACGGAAAAAATAATGTGCCTCACCTACCCATTGAAGATCTGCCTGAAGACAATCTTCTCGGGGAAAGGACGAAGCCCAACGAAGGCCGCCAGTTCATTGAAGATGTTGCTCGGTGTGTCACGCAGTTCTGTTTGGTGCCTCGATGCGCAGTATACGCCTATAGAGTCTCAGTCCGAAGATATCAACAGCTGACAAGCAGTTTTGCCGCAATCCCCGCCAAATTCTAAATCTTCAATGGGGAATCAAAAATCTGATTCCCCAGTCGATTGCATCAGGCCCGGCCAACCTCTGGCTATGTATTAGATTCATTATTTTCTTATGTTGTTTGATTCTTCATGTGTTATGTTATTCTTGTTCATGCTATCGTCTTGGTATGTTGGTTATGTCTTTGTTTCTTTGCTCACAACACAGTTTCCCTGTTTTCCCTTGCTTCCCTTTTGCTATGGCATTCAAAAGTAACTCGCCGAGGCACAAAACAAACAGACGACTCAGAAACAGCTCCGCCAAGGCTGCCAGATGCTGTGCGATGTCGATCCGATCCCAAAATGACCTCCTGGCACAGAGGCTCAAGAGAGTTGAAATTTTGCGGTACCGTTTCAAGCAGTCTCAACGCCTGCACTCGCAGAAGAAGACGAGGTGCAGATACATGCTTGTATTGCAATCAATGTCTGCTCAAACTGTTCTGTCGTTCTAGCAGCACTACTGCTGCTCCGGAGATGCGTGCTTTGCCGTTCAGGGCCTGTAGATTTTGCAGAAGCCTCTGCTGGAAATTTACGAAGCATGCCGAAGGCACAGCTGGCCATGTCTTTCCGTCAGCAGTGCCGAAGCGCTTGGGAAACCTCGTTCCAGCTGCCCCTCACACACATGCATCCACCCTCCATTCCCACCCACTACTTCGACGCATCAGCCATGTTACGCATCAAGAAGTTTGCTCTCGGAACGTGTGCATCAGATGAATCGAAGCTAGACTTTAACGAGCATTCACTAGATGGAAGGAGAAAGCATTGCACTGACGAAATGCAGTCGAGCCACAGACTTCACTGCCGTCGCGGTGCCGGCAGGCCACAAGACGCTTCTGAGCCGCAAGGAGGTCATCATGGCAATATTTTTTCACCATGAAAATCCTGAAGCCCGAGTGGGATGCCAATCTACACAAGTAAGGTATGGACGAAGGTGTTCTTCGCCACCAGACCGCAAACTGAAACTCATACCAGTTGCACACAAAGGTTCTTCTCCAGGCGACCGACCGGCTCGCAAATGGCGAGAACCAGTTTCCTTTCTGCATGAAGAAATAATGTCGAATCGCTGCATCGACAACAAACTTACATGACACAATGTCACAAAGACATGGACCAAGTACACGCATGTTTACAAATTGTCGATATACATGTGTGCACATAACTATATATGTGCTGAGCCCATGTGCTGCCATAAACGAAATCTGAGGAAAAGCCTCCAGAGGAAGAAGATCGACGAGGCCAAGGCAAAGAAAGGACAGAAAAGTAAAGGAGAGAAAGGAAACGGAGAGGAGCCGAAAGGTAAAGAAGGAGCAGTCACAGGAGGAAGCTCAAGCAGCACAGACGACCCAAACTTCCAGTGAGGAAGGAAAAGGATCAAAGATCAAAGCCAAAGAAGAGGATCAAAAGAAGAAGCAACAGCAGAAGGAAAGCAGTGAGACCACTTTTGGTCAACGCAAAGGAAGTGAGTCTGAAGCCCTTTTTCTTTGCAGGAACACCGTGCAAGGATGGTGTACCCGTTCGCACGAGTAGGAACTGTTTTGCGTGGCTAACAGGATGATGGTCCAAGTAACTCGCTTGTCTCAGTAGCAAAGGAACTTTGTACAGTAGCAGCAACCTTGGAGAGGATTGCGAGTGGACAGTCGCATGTCTGCGTTAAAGGAAAGAGTTTTTCAACTGTGTGTGTTCGGCAAGGAAAGTAGTTCGAAGCCAGCTAAGTCTGGGACGACGTTACCTAACTTCGAAGGCGGGGTGTTACACATTACTGCCTAGAAGGAACCCACAGTTTATTGTGTAGGAAAATGTGTGGAGTGAGCCAGGAAGCAACTTCCGCGCCTAGGCTCAAGGACCGAACACTCCAGTGCGGTAGCAAGGAAAAGTGAGCCGCCGCTGTGTGAGTAGAAAGCCCTCAGGAAACCCCGTTCTTTAACACGGAATCGAACAGAGAGCTCAGCCTGGTTGTCTTTGCCGAAATCAAGCGACATTCTGTTGGATTCTCGGTTGGCTACACTCATTGATATTTAGCCACCGCACATGTATGTGGAAGGCTGCCGGTGCTGCTCCGCAGTATTAAACGGCGCCAATCCACGGCTGATTTCATGTACACAGCGTTTGGTCTAAGGACCCATGAGTACATAGCCGGATGAACATGCATCGATCGAAGTTTTCTTCGTAGGTTCTCTGCGTGGAATTGTTGTGCAGAGGCACGGAAGAGAAGCAACAAAGCCAAATGCAACAGTCCTTGGGACCAAATCATAGACGCCTTGGGCTTGAACAGTGCTCACGTGCTTCCGAAGCTGTGTGAACTTGCCTTTTGTAAGCTGGCTTGTTCTTCATTCTTCAAGGTCTGAAGCCAGTCTTCAACATGATGATCGGTCGCTCCTCTAGGTCTGGAATCCAGCTTTGCTTTAGGAGGGCCTTTTAAAAGTTTCCGGGCTTCGTCATCAGCCAATTCTGTCTTGGCTTGGGCTTCTTGGAAGGTCTGGAGTCCATCAGACTTGGCTTTGCTTTTGACTAAAGCTTCAGAATAATCTGAAGTTGGTTTTTGTTGGCAGCCTGGCCTTCATGAAACCAACAAGAGCGGAAGACAAGCGTTGCATGAATTTTGTGGCATCTTTGTGCTTGTCCGGAACTTCCTCTTGGCAAAAAGGTCTTGCCACTTCGTCAATGTCCAGATCCAACTCTCGAATTCTCTTGAGAAGTTGGGTGGCGAAAACGGCTTCCGATGCAGATCGAGTCCAAACAATTCCTTGGTATTGTCCTTCGCCCAAAAGTCTGACGGGATTCGGAAAGTCCGCGTGGGACAATTCCCATGCTCGAATGTCCTCTATGAGACGACCTGCCAAGTTCTGTGTTCGGCTCCACTCGATACATTGAACCTCCCTCACACATGGATAAATTGATATCCTTGTTTGCCTACTGGCTGACGATCCCAAAACTTGTCGTCAGATTGAAAAAAGTAGGGAGTGTAGGCTTGGAACCGAAGGTGGTGGGCGTGGCCGCCCAAGAGCTCCCGCGAGAAGAGAACCAGCTTTGGTCGTTCCATTGATTGGTTCGATTGGTCCAGCTGTTGTCGTTCTTTTCATCCCAACTCTTAGCATACCAGTCGCCAGTCGCTCATGGCTTCTCAACTGGAGAGATCGGCGGGAGGATGCGTAAGCTGATCTAGCACCTTTTACTGATGGAGCCCAGCGGACTCGAGGCTGAACGTTTGCGAGGCTCTTTTTCTGAGCAGAACGAAAAGTTCTAGCCTGGCAGTTGATGGCTCAAGATCGTGTTTGCGCTGTATCAAGCGCCGTTGCTGTCCCTGTGCTGCTTCAGCCACTTGTCTTCCTTGGAGTCAAAGTAGTACCAAACGCACGCGTCCTGGTTCCACTTCCACTGGCACTGTTCCTTGTTGAACTCGTAGATCGCGTAGAGGCATCGATCCTCACTGGCGCCTTCAACGATGATGAAGTTGTCCTTGAAGTGTGGGCCTTTCCTTGTCAACTCGTAGTCCTCTTCTTCTTCCTGCTTTTCTCCTTTGGCGCTTCCTTCCTTGGTGCTTCCTTTCTCGCTCTCCAGTTCCTGTTGGGGTCGTGCTATCGTTGCTTTATCCTTCTCCTTCTCCTCAAGCATCCTTTCAAGGATTCCTTCGAGCTTCGTCAACCTGTCTTCCTTTGTTCCTGTGCTTGCTGCTGCTGCGGTTTCCTTTTCCTCCTTCTTCTTCTCTTCTGCTGCTGCTTCCTTCTTCCTTTCCTCTTCTGCTGCCTTCTCCAACGTCTGCCTGGCGATCCTCCTTTGCCTTTCCTCGTCTTCCTTCATCACCCTTTCCTGCTCGGCCTTCTTCCTCTTCTCCTCTTCTGCTGCGGCTTTCTCCTTCCTCTTCTTCTCCTCAGCTGCTGCGGCTGCTGCTGCTCTCTTCACTTCCTCGTCTGCTTCCTCTTGCTTCTTGGCGTGCTCTTCGGCTTCCTGCTCCATTTTCTCTCTTGCCTCTTTGTTCTTCCTTTCCTCTTCTTCTTTTGCCTGCTTCTCCTCTTCTCGCTTCTTCCTCTTTTCCTCTTCCTTGTGGCCCATGCGTTCCCAGTGCTTTGCATCCTCTTCGTCTCTGGGAACAAATCCTGGCTTTGCTTCCTTCTTCGGACTTCCTCCTTTCTTCCTTCCGTACTCCTTTCCTTTTCCTTTCTCGTGGGCGTAGGCGTAGTCCCAGTCCCACCATTCCTTTTCACCGGTCACATGGCTTTGTCGCCATATTGACCAATTTTCCGTGTAGTACTTGAATTCCTGGGACATGTCGGTCGGGCACACGAAGTTCCTCTCTCTTTCCTGCTCAACTGTGCCTTTTTCCTGATATCCTCGTTGACCTTCCTGATCCTTTCTCTGATTTCCTCATCGCTCTCCTTTGGCTTTCCTTTTGGCTTTTCCTCTTGGGTAGCTTTCCTCTTCTCCTTCGGGTCCTGTGTAGCTTTGGGTGTAGTACTCGTCCTCGCTCTCCTCGAAGAGTGCTTGGTCGTTTTCCTGTTCCTCCAAGTGCGTGAAGAGCTTGCTGTCGCCGAACTGGTTGAGGTCCTCTTCTTTTCCTTGTCCTTCCTCTTCCTTTTCCTGCGAACTGGTAGTTGAGGTAGTCGGCGAAGTAGTTCCTTCTCCATGTCCTTCTCGGCGAAGTTCTCGTTCCTCCCTGCGGTCTCTTTCCTCTCTCAACCTTTCGTTTTCCTTGAGAAGGAGCTTCTTCAACTCCTCTTGCTCCTGGAAGTATTTGGCGTATTCCTGTCTCGCGTCTTCTTCGTCCTGCCAAAACGTCTCCCACTTCTCTTCCAGGGTCCTGATCCTTCCTGCCAGTTCCTGCTGGCTTTCCTTGGCGGCCTTTCTTTCCTTCTCCGTTTCCTCTGTCATCTCCGTCATATTCCTGCGTACCTTCCTGAGTTCTTCTCTGCTCGGCGCTGGTAGCCTGTTCGAGTGTTCCTGCTGTTCTAGCATGTCCTTCATCCGCTTGCTTTGAAGGGCGATTATTTCCTTTATCTCACGCGCGAAGCTAGCGCTGCTTCCAGTTCCACTCGACGTTCCTGGCGAAGATTCCCGAACTCGCCGGTCTTTCCATGGCACTCTGTGTTCCTGTCGAGCTACCACAGAGTTCCTGTGCTACGTTCCCGAGCGAAGCGAACATCTGCGGTCGCAGACAAGTTGTTCCTGAATATGCGCAAACAGTTCCTACATCTACCTCGCAAACACTCATGTCAGCGCACATGACGTCCTGTCCTAACTTGACTGTTCCTGCTGTTCCTACCATGTCAGCACACACGCGGTCCTGCTCACATGCACTCATGTCAAAAACTGTTCCTTGATCCTCTTGGCTGAAAGGGGCTTGGTTCCTATGTCAGCTGTGTTTTCCTTGGTTCCTACAGGGTGAACACTGGCAATACCTTGTTTGTGGAGGTCCTGAAGAAAAAAGGGTCCTGATTTGGAGATGTTTGACTCTTCCTACACCTTGCCTTGTAATTATTCCTCTAGCTGCTGATGAGTCGAGATACATGTGTACCTGGCATCTTCTTCTTGTGAGAAACTCTACAGCTTCCTTTAAGAAGATAGAGTCAGAAGCTGCTGATGCTCCTGCATAATACTCTGCTTCTAGCTGAGGGCTACTGATTTTTGGTTCCTTGCGAAGGAATATATCAGTTGACTGTCCAAGAAAACAGTGCCTGAACTCGTACTCCTCCGCATGTGCTTCTTTCCTGCCCAATTGCTGTCACTGACAACTTGCAGCAAGTGATGTTCCTTTTCACGGATCTCCGAGAAGTCATAGCTGCCGTTCCTGACAGATTCGTGGAGGTTGCTAAGTCCTCTCGGAGTTTTTCTGTACACTAAATGGGTTCCTTCTGTTCTCGACATGCACTGCACGAGGTGTACAAGATGTTTCCAGGCTTTGCGAGTTGGTTCCTGCATCTTCGACGCAAGTCCACATACTGCAAACTGCAGATCCGGACGGTCCTGTCCTACATATAGTAGGATCCCAACGCATTTCCTGAATGAGGCGGATTGTTTCTGGTCCAACGGGTTTGTGTG